AAGCCTCCAACCATAATTCCATCAGGACTGAGAGAGCCAGCATCTTTTTTTGAACAGGGCCTAATCCCATTGCAGCAAGTCAGTTTTCTCACACCCACCATAAACAGCTCTTTTTTCAAGGCTCCTTGTTAAAATGGAGATGCTAAAAATATTTACTCCTATTTTGCAGAGGTTAGGACAAAGCAGAAAAAAAAAAACCCAACCCATAAAACAGAACCTGTTTTCCTGATGCCAGAGGAGCAGGGGCTGGCATCTCCTGCAGGGATCCGCTGGGGTATGAAGGAAAATGAGAGCTCTCTCCTGCCCCCAGAATTAATGATGAAGAAACCGATGGGAGCAGCGTCTCTAGGAGAGGACCTGTTCCTCTGCTTTTGGGTGGTTTCCACAGAGAGGTTTGAAGCAGGGGTGCAGTCAAGATGAACTCAAGGGTAAGCAGAGTTCACTTATTTTAAGCAAAGCAAAGTATGCAGTTTTCATAATACGGCAAAGTAAGAACACATGACCCTGCTAGGTTATTTATTGGAACACTTCTGAATTAGCAGAAGGTGCTTTTGCTACCCCCACAAAATAGTATTTATCGTTTTTCTTCGTCTGAAGCGCCATATCTGCCAACTTTAAAAAAAAAAAAAAAAAAGAGATGCTGGTTCCAGTGCTACAGGGCGTCCTGCACTTAGTACTGGTGGCAAAAAGGACTCAGACCTGACTGACTACTCAATTGGATCTTTCTCCATTTCAGCTTTAGACTTAAGCCTGCAGTAAGAAGCAAACGAGTTACTTAATATAGAAGAGATCTTATCTCAGTAGGCAGAAAAGCACTGCAGGTTTTTCAACGAACCAAGTGTGGTAGCCAAGTTCATGGTCCCACCTGGCCCCACTCATGGTGACTGTCCCCCCGACAGGCCACCTCAGACCCAGCTCTCAGGTGACTGACTACAGCCAATTTCTCTGGCTCAGTCATTTCTCCCATTCATGGCCACACTCAGAATAGATGGATAACAAATTGTGCAGGGACTCAGTGAAAAACTACAGAATTATCCTTATGCCAAGTGTATCAGTTGGAAGATGCTAAAAATAATGGCATCCTTTGCAGTCACACCAGCACAGTGAAGCACTGGGTTTCCAGGCAAGCCCCAGGACCTGCCTGAAGCTACGCCTTGGACAAAACTTTCAGAGCATGCCCACCTTCCTGAGACCAAACTTCTAGGAGTAAAACTTTGAGTAACTAGACACAACACGAGCCATCTCCTGTCCCTCCAGTAACCACAAAAAGGGACCGCATTGAAAAACATTCAAAACAGACTATTTCTGTGAAAAACTACCATCTTATCTCCAAAGAAATGCACTAATGCCCTAAGCGGAAAGCCTGCCTACCATCTTGAGCTAAAAAAAAAAAAAAAAAAAAAAAAAAGCCATACTCCGTAGTTGAAAATTGCTACCAGCCTGTGTCCCTTGAGTGCCATGCACAGCAATGCGCATCACACACCAGCAACCGTTTATCTTTTATGAGTGACTTCTGACCCCGAGGGCAGTTTCCATTTCTTGTCCACTTTCTCTGCTTTAGAAGCAGCGCATACTGGAGGCAGCGAGGCTGGCGCTGCCCTTCCTTTCTCTGCCATTTACTTCTGCGCAAGAGCAAAGCCTGGGGGCTTTGAGCACCAGGGGAGCGGCCAAAGCCCTGTCCTTCA